ATGCTACATATTTAGCACACAAAAAATAGAGCGAGTACACTGAAGTAGTATTTATATAGTGAAAGTATTTGTTAAATTTAATTAAAAGAAGATGATGAAGAAAGTTTTTATTTCTGTTGTTTCCCACTTGTCACCAGGTGGTGGCGGTAATCACACGCAGCGTTTTTCTTTCAATCGCCAATAAAAATCCGAAGAAGAAGAAAAAACAGGCGACTGGAGAAATGTATGTGGGTAACTCGTTAGCTATTATTAGCAGTTTCYTCTTTGAAATAACCACAGCTATCAAGCAGTTTTGTTGCGTTTGTTTAAAACAGTCAAACGCATCTTCTTACGTGTTTTCCTGACGAACAGGTAAGAAACACTTCGRACACGACCGCGTTTTAGTTGAAACTACGAACTGTTGAACTTCGAGGCTGTTTTTAGCCGCCGTCATTAGCCGGTGGGATCATGTGAGTTAGCTAGCCTTTGTTGTTCAAAACAAGTTGTTTTATCAGAGGAAATTACTGCTGACAACAAACGGGTTTGTAGTAGGATGACGTATAGACCTCTGGGCAGAGTATTAAAAGCATTTTTTATATAAATACATGAATAAAGTAGTGTTAGTTTCACATGAACTTTGCCTGTCAGGAAAACAAACTAGCTTGAGTTTATTAGACTTGTTTGTAATTTAGCACCGCAAGAGAGTTACGTTATCTTTACATTTTGTTGTAACTGCATCTCARTTACAAATACATTGCATTTATTGATTTGCCAATTCGTAAAGTTATGAAATGTTCAAGTAAGATSTGCTTTTAATGAGCATCAGTGATGCTGTTTAACATATTTATGCAATTTTTATTGGCAATTGTTTACAAAGGTTATTTTTAAGTTTGTTCCTCAGCATCTTTCTAGATCTTTTTAGACACTTTTTTTTAGAGGCAGTTCATACTCCTGTGAGTTTTAAATTAGTATATTGAGTAGATTAAAGATGTCCAAAAGAGGGGACARAAAGGAGCAGATCTGCACAGTTTGAAGTAGCACAAATACCACCAGGTGGTTTAGGTTTTCCTTTCATCTCTTATTTTTGCTCATAAACAGATGCTCCTTTTGTTTACAAACATGATGAAAGTTCTCAACTCTTTCATTTGAAYTACGATGAATCCCCATTCATCTGTATTTATATAAATCAAGCCTAATGAGGTCATAAGTCTTGTGACGCTTTTTAATGTGCCTAATAATGTTGCTTTCTTTYTTAGTTTGGTTGGTATTGAAGCACTGCCAGCACAGTGACACCTGCTGGTTGGCYTTTGTTATTGCAGCTTATTAAGTCTGAGCCAAAGCGGTTCAATAACTTTCATTGACAGGATCACGAGAAGCTTTTTTGCAGGTTTTGATTTTTTTTTTTTTCTGGCTCAGATAATAGAGTAAATTTATTTAAGCACAACTATGTATCTTTTTTACATGCCACCATTTTTAGAACATGATCATAAGATGTAAATTTATATTTCTGTAAATTAAGTCAGTAAATTCATATCCTGTACATTCAT